TATACAATAATAAAATTATCTAAATTATTAATTGAAACATATTTCTAATATCATTAAAAATTGTTAATTGACTTGATGATTTATTAATAAAAGGGCAATTTGTTATGAAATTAGAAATCTCAGGGGGCAGAATATAATTTTCAGAACCACAGAGGGCAATTTGTATTTTAATCAAACCTCAAGGGGTATATTTGTAATTTACCCTCAAATAAAGTATCATTTATGATATTTTAGTGAGTTAAGATAATTATTGAAAAATGTTAAATGTATTAAAAATGTAGTGAGTGAGAGTCAATTTTGTAAAAATTGATTTACAAAATTTTAAAATGTAAGTCATTTTTTAAAAAATGATTAAAATATATTTTTTTAAAAAATATTTTACTTGTTTTTTGTTAAACCAAACAACGAAAGATGAATAAATTTTTTTGACAAAAATATTTTATGTCAAAACAAATGAAACCTTTGTCTCAATTTTTAGTTTAGAGTTAATTACACTTTTACCCCTTAAACTATCGCCATTTTGTTTATGTAGTCCTGAAACTATTAAACTTGTCTTCTTGGTCCCTAAACATTCAAAAACTCATTCTACTTAGTTCCAATTGCTAGATGACGTTAATTAATTAACAGAAAATGGGATCATGTGCATTGCAAATGAGCTTCAAGGATGGTAAAAAAGCGAAATTAGACATTTTACATATATCTCCATTAAAAAAAAGAAAATCAATAGGAGGAAAACTTTCCTGCCATTTTCATAGATAGATAGATAAACAGAACTTTATTAGGTAATCTTTAAAATATAAGTTTACCTCCTATTGATTTTTTTTTTTTAATGGAGACATATGTAAAGTATCTAATTTAGCCATTTTACCATCCTTGTAGCTCATTTGTAGTGCACATGATCCTATTTTTTGTTAAATAATTAATGTCATCTACCATCGGGGACTGAGTAGCATAAGTTTTTGAAAATTTAGGGACCAAGAAGACAAATTTAATTGTTTCGGGACTATATATATAAAATGGTGATAGTTTAGGGGGTAAAAATGTAATTAACCCTTTAGTCTAATTGACTCAAAAATTAACATTGTTTTAATAAAAAATGTACAAATGAGTAGCATGAATCATGCTTTAGGAATAAAATTGTAAATTTGATCGATTCAATGAATTAATTTTAATTTTTGTTTAAAAATCTTTACCACGTTATCAATTAGATAAAAATATAGAAAATTAAGAGTAAAAATTGTGTAGGGACTAAAACCACAATAGAGAGAGGATCGTAGAATATGGAGAGAGAGATCCGAACGCCTAAATTGCTGTATTAGAAATCAGCTTTTGTATTGCTATTGGATGGTTGACAACTGATCTAGGGTTTTCGAACAAGGAGAAGCCACTCAGATTCGTGCCAAAATTTTCTATCATCTGCCTTGTTTTGTGTATATCATGCCAATTAAAAATCCAAATTGTAAGTAGGAAAAGTGTAAAACCCTGTATATATTTCTACTATTGTAATATTTTTGACCCTAACATTGGTTTGAATCACGAATTCTCTACAAAATGTGAATCGGATTATTTCTATACTATTAAATTCATTTTTGTGAGAAGATTTTATTCTGCAGTATCGCAGTTTGTATGTAAAATTACATATGGACCCAATGATATTTATTTATTTTTTCTTGATTTTGATTCTCCAAGACAATTTTAAATAGTAGTGTTTCACCAGAATTTTCTCATTTATTAGTGTAAGTACACAAAACAAAATATGCTTTTAGGATTGAAGTTCACACCAAGGGATCAAATTGATAAGGTAAATCTTCTACATGTGTTTGTTTCCATTTTTGCAGAGCCTCGAGCAAAATTAATAGACATTGGTACCCCATGTAATCTCACAATCTCATTCATATAAATATGGGCCAATTTGTCAGCATTGTAGATAGATTTAACAGGCAGAAAATGAGCAGACTTAGTTAAATGGTCAACTATAACCCAAATAGAGTCCATATCTCGGGAAGAGCGAGGCAATCCCATAATGAAATCCATGGTGATATGCTCCTATTTCCATTCCGGTATTGGAAGCGGCTGTAACAAACCGGCGGGTCGTTGATGTTCCGCTTTGACTTGTTGACAATGTAGACATCTAGCCACAAAATCTGCGACACTTTTTCATTCCGGGCCACCAGAAATTTTGTTTCAAGTTATGGTACATCTTTGTATTCCCCGGATGCATAGCAAACTTAGTATTGTGGGCTTCAGACATAACACGCTTTCTTAAGTCACAGCAATCAGGTACACAAAGACGATTTTAAAATTTCAGCACATTATTCTCAAACACAAACCCTGGCCTTGGCTTGGAATCAAGTTCTTCCCCAACCTTTGTCAAGTCTTCATCTTCAAGTTATTTTTCTTTGATTTCTTCAATGATTGCAGGCTGAGCGGAAATAGCAGCTAGTATTCCGCCCTGTTCACGTATCACAATCTCAATCTCATTCCTTTCCAAATCATATAACAGTTCTCTCCGGCTGGTAAGCAGACATGACAAATTTCCCATTGATTTTCAGCTCAAAGCATCTGCTACGGTATTAGCTTTCCCTGGGTGATACAAGATTTGGAAATCATAATCTTTGATCAGTTCTAATCATCGGCTCTGTGTCATGTTCAATTCTTTTTGGGTGAAGAAATATTTCAAGCTTTTATGATTGGTATACACTTCGCAAGTTACCCCATACAAGTAATGACGCCAGATTTTCAAGGCAAACACCATAGCCGCCAGTTCAAGGTCATGAGTCGGGTAATTCTTTTCATGAGGGCAAAGTTGTCGAGAAGCATAGGCAATTACTTTCCCATTTTGCATCAGTACACAGCCCAACCCTTTATATGAAGCATCACTGTAAATTTGAAACCCATCAGTACCATTAGGCAAGGTTAGGATTGGTGCAGTCACCAGCCTGGTTTTCAATTCTTGGAAGGTTGATTCACGTTGATCGTTCCAGTCAAACTGTACATTCTTCTGTGTCAATTGTGTTAACGGCATCACAAGCTTTAAGAAGTCTTTCACAAATCTTCTGTAATAATCAGTCAGTCCTACAAAACTTCTAACTTCTGTTACATTCGTCGGTCTAGGCCAATCCACAATAGCTTCAATCTTCTGAGGGTCAACAGAAACACCATCCTCATAGATTACATGTCCCAAAAATGATACATTGTCAAGCCAGAATTCACATTTGGGCAATTTAGCATACAACTTCTTTTCTTTCAAAATCTGTGAGGTAGTTCTCAGATGGTTTCCATGTTCTTCCCTGTCTTTAGAATAAATCAGAATGTCATCAATAAACACAACAATGAATTCATCAAGTTATTGTTTGAAAACCCTATTCATTAGGTCCATAAAAACTGCAGGTGCATTTGTTACCCCAAAAGGCATTACCAAAAATTCGTAATGTCCATATCTAGTTCTGAATGCGATTTTCTCTACGTCTTCTGCTTTAACCTTTAACTGGTGATAATCGGATCGAAGATCAATTTTAGGGAACACTTAAGCTCCCTAGAGTTGATCAAACAAATCATCTATTCGGGGTAATGGATATTTATTTTTAATGGTCACCTTGTTCAGTTCCCGATAGTCAATACAGAGTCTCAAGGATCCGTCTTTCTTTTTGACAAATAACACTGGAGCACCCCAAGGTGAGGTACTCGGACGAATGAATTTCTTATCTAAGAGTTCCTGAAGTTGGACCTTTAGTTTTTTCAATTTAGTAGTCGACATCCTATACGGAGTCTTGGAGATGGGTTGTGTTCCAGGTAATACATCAATGGTGAATTCTATTTCCCTATCAATTAAATCCCCGGGTAGATCATGGGGAAATGCATCAGGAAAATCACAAACCATAGGAATAGTTTCGACACTAGCACCGTCCGAAGACGCAGACAACACGCTACACAAATAGCCCCAGCACCCCCTTCTTAATAACTTTTTGGCTTTCACGAATGAAATCAGATATGGTGGAGGGACTACCCCATTTCCAGCAAAACTAAACTCGGGGGCCGGATGGACGAAATATGACAGATTTATTCACACAATCAATGGTGGCACCGTATTTAGTCAACCAATCCATACCTAGAATAAAATCAAAATAATTGATGTTCAAGGGTAATAAATCAACATACAATGTCATCTCTCCAATTATAAGATCACATGCTGGATAAACATAAGCACCCATCATAGAACCCCCAGATGGTGTGGATACATATAACAAATAGTTCATAGGTTCTAGTGGTCTAGTTAATTTCCGGGAAAAAGCATGTGATACGAATGAATGTGTGGAACCAGAATCAATCAACACATATGCATTCTGAGCATAGATAGAAATGATACCTGACACTACTAATTCAGTGTTTTGCACATCTCTAGGCACTAAGGTGAATACTCTCCCTTGCCTCAATACTCTATTCCCGTTGTTGCCCCTGACATTAGTTCTGAAGTTTGATTTGGCCACTGAAATAGACCCTGTTGAACTAGCTGTAGGATGACTGGTATTCCCTGATCCCATTGGACAATCTTTCATCATATGGCTAACCTTGCCACACTGGTAACAAGCACCAGATGCATATTGGCACACTTCCCTATGTCTCCTGCCACATTCTGGACAGTTTGGTATGGACCCACTACTCTAACTAGGACTACTGAAAGATCCTGTGTTTTGTTACTTCAAAAATGATCGGCCATTTCTGAAATTAAACCCGGCCCTTTTGCCTTTCCATTCAATTAGTGGTACTGTAGTTTGTTTCTTCGCTGCCACAATGGCTTCTGCCATCAGTGCTCTATCCAAAACATTCACATACGTGGGTGGGTTTAGAACTCCCACTCGATCCAATATATCTAAATCTAGCCCGCCCTCAAACTTGCGGGCCTTCTTGTAGTTAGTGTCCACTATGTGAGGAGCAAACCTGGCTAGCTCGGTAAACTTAGCCTCATACTCGGCTACAGACATTCTGCCTTGTTTGAGTTCCTAGAATTCTGAAACCTTTCGGTCTCGGAAGCACTGGGGAAAGTACTTGTCATAGAAAACTGTATTGAATTGAGTCCATGTCATATTCTCATTACCACTCCGAACTAGTAACCACCATCTTCGAGTTTCATCTTTCAGAGTGTAGGTGGCTAATAAAATTTTATGAACCTCAAAATAGGAAAACACTTCAAATAATTTTTCCATCTCTAGTAGCCAAGTTTCTGTCTTTAGTGGTTCAATGCCACCTAAGAGAGTTGGCGGCTTTATCTTCATGAATTTCTGAGTCATGGTAATTATGTCGTTGTTGCCCATTTCAACTTGAACCGGCAAGGGTGGAGGTGGTAAAGGTTGTTGCCTCTGTTGTTGCATTACTATTTCAGTTAAAGTGGCAAGCATTTGTTCCATTCTGTTCATTCGGGCATCCGAGGACCCCGCTGTGTCATCACTTCTTGCATTGTCCATTTGCTATAGGTAAACAAAACTTTATAAACACAGGCAAATAGTCCACGTTACTTTATTCAAATTCACATGATTATACTTGGATTATGCTTTCACTTTTAAACAACACAGTTAGACATGCAGATGGGATGCCCTTACTTCTCATTAGGACACCTAAGCTCATATGGACTTGTGTGTGTGGCATTACTCGTGCTCTGATACCACTCTGTCACGATCCAAACCCGTCCCATAGTTTTAGCGTCGAGACCGGCCAGTAATCCTCGGATTACCAAAGGCCTCATGACATAATAGCATATAAAGGGGCTGCGAAAACAATAAACGAAACACAAACAGTCCATTGAGCCGTGCTGACATTACATGGAACAGATAACTTAAAATTTCCTTATAGCAAGATGCAATATTTACACAGGCCAAGTACATGCCAAAAGACATCCTGACAAAACATCACATAGTATAAAGTGTTTGCAAAAGCAGCCATGAAACTTGACTTTAACCGGAACCTCCTCGGAAGACACAAGGGTTGGCTAAAAAAACTGAAGCATAGGCCATTAACTTTGGGCCTGATCACGTACTTGCTCACCTACATACATAATATAAATAATGAGCCAAAGCCCAGTGAATAATAACAAAGTAAAGACTTTAATGAATGATGTCCATAGCTTGTCTCACAACATTTCAGGATCATAATCAGATAGTGAAATAGAATCATAGTCTTATCCTTGTTCAATCATGTGTGGTACATCCATTAACTTAAACATGTCTCTTTAGTCAAGCATATCAAGTTCTATAAAGGAACCTTCGGTACCGGGTAACATATCTCATACATACGCCACAATATTATTTCCCCCGGGCGAGGGCCTGTGCCACCGTACTGTTTCCCCCTGGCGAGGGCTTGGACCTCGGTATTATTTCCCCCGGGCAAGGGCCTGGGCTACGGTATTCTTTCCCCCGGACCAGGGCATCATGACCATAAGCCATAGTATTATGTCCCCTAGGCGAGGGCCTCTGCTAAGGATACCACAATTTCGTTTCATAGCAAATTGGACAATCATTCATTCACACAAAACATAGCATTTCAGAAACTTGTCATCTCATATCATCGGAAAATATTCATAGTTAAACATAACTTTATAGAGTTATTACTCACAGATAATTGAGATAATTGGTAGCTCCAATTAGATGACAAAGTGGCAAATTCACTTATCTCGAGGCGCGTGACCTACATAACATGATAGATACATACGTTTAATTCCACACTCAAACTGAACATAACTTGATTCATTGCTCTTAGTGTGTTTCTAGCCTTTAATCCTCATCATGGAGTCTTAACATGGCTTAGGAATGCCTAGGATGGAATATGGAAGCAAAAATGTGTTGGGAAACATTTTTCAAAACTTGCTGAAAATAGGGTCCACTCTCGAGCGTGGATTTTCTCGCTCGAGCGGACATGCAGACAATGAAGCTCCGCTCGAGCGTGACTTCCCTCGCTTGAGCGGACTACAAACTTTTGAAAAAGTATTGGTTGCATGTTTTTCACACTCGATGGATGCTTAACCCACGCTCGAGCGTGAGACTCAGACCCTTGCACGAGCACGGATTCCCTCGCTCGAGCTGACTACAAAACACATGAACTTCTGGGCATATGCATTTCATGCTCGAGCGTAACCCTCTACGCTCGAGCGGAAGTGCATATACTCAGAGTGTACGCTCGAGCGTGAAGTCCTCTGCTCGAGCGTGGATCAAAAATCTAGAATTTCCAGATTGATCCCCAAGCACAAAACTCAACCTTTAAAGCTTCAAACTCGATTTTTCTAGGCCAAACTTTTGAAAAACTCAAAGAGATTCATAAAACAACATGATCCAAAGATTACTTCAAGAATTCATGGCCCAAAAGCTTGCCAATTGCACAAAAGTTCAACTTAAAATTCAAGTATGATCCATAGACAAGACATGCATGCAATGATTTAATCTTCAAGCCTCTAAATCATGATCAAATGCTACCATCTAACCTGAAAATCATTGTTTTCCTAAAATTAAAGTGAATTGGAGACATGCATGAGACAATTCTTTGAAAACACCTTTAAAACTTCATGAGATGCACATGCAACCCAAATTTATCCTCAATTCCAACTTTTAGCTCAATTCTTGCATTAATCAACTTAACTCTCTCGTTTTTATGCACTAGAGTCTTGACTTCAAGGCTATAAGACAAAATGCTTACCTAAAGGCTTGAATTTACAACGGTTGAAGTTAAGATCTTCAAATTTCCTCCAAATGGCAACAATTCCTCCTTAATTGAGCTCAAGTTTCCAAGCTTTACCCCAATTCTCCCTTCTCTCACTCTCTCACCAGTTTGTCTTTCTTGGGTGATCTCAAAATGTAATGGAATCAAGAAAAAGAAGTGAGCGGGCTCAAAATGGTGCCTTAAATAGGCTTGGATACAAGTATGATTAATTGAGCTTAATTGGTGCACATTAATTTAATCTAATTTAATCGTTCCGAATCGAATTTTAATTAGACCTACCATAAAATTCTATAAATCCTAATTAACATATAAATTAAGTCAATTTCTGTATCGGATGCTGATAAGGCCTTCAATTTGCAAATCGAAACTAAAACATGAACAGATCTTTCTACGCTAAACAGATAGAGACACGTTAATAATGCAATACACATGTCATTAACTCATGATTTCTTCTTAATCACTTGCTAGACACACTTAAGCATGAATTAACATTAATTAAGGGTCGGGGTTGTTACACTTACGCACATACTAAAATTTATAGTTCTATTCTTCTTATGAGAACTCAACATATTCTACTGAAAGTGAAAGTGAGGGCGACTTTGACCGAGTTGAAAAGAAAAATAGGTATAAGAAGAGAGAGAAGAAAAGATAAGGGAATAGCTCAAAAGATGAAGCTAGAGGTAAGTCGAAGAAGTCGAGAAGCAGGAGAAATGATTATTCATTTGAAGACTATTCTTCGAATAATTCTGATGTTGAAGATAAGAAAGGCTATTCTCATAGAGAAGATAAGCATTGAAAAGGAAGTAAAAGCCATGGACAGAAAAGGGTTAGCAAAAAAGGAAGGCTACTCTTATAGAGACACTCCGACGATAAAGTTAGCAACTTGAATCAAAGAAAGAAGATGGATGCCCTCTTTTTATATAAATAAGGGGTGTGATATTTGATTGGTAGATATTGTTTGGACTTGTTTGTTGGTCTTGGCCTATACTTAGGCCTTATTTAGATTAGCTTAATAAGTTGATTTTTTTTCTAACTCCCCCCCCACACATACACACACACACACACACACACACACATATATATATATATATATATATAATCACGTATATCGATATAACTAATTGATCTATTTTATTTTTTTAATAGAAGCAAAAATGATATTTTCATACATTATATAAACAAAATAAAAAACAAAACTGCATGATAATGAATCATAGTGAATCACAATGAATTGCACGATTCACTCAAAAGTGGTGACATTGTGGGAATTAGAAGCATATTGTCACGGCCTTGCTTATTCTCTAGCACACCGTGCGACACTTAGACAATCTCAAGCCTCACTTAATGATGCTAAGTCAGCCTAACTCACAACTTGTAGGAAAGAGAAGCAAAAGGAACACAAGAGAGTTTGAGAGAATGGCTGGTATTTTACTCTTGAGAGAAGTTGCACAACTCTTAGACGGTTTGGAGCAAATGAGCTCCTCCCCTATTTATAGGCACTCTTAGCCTCTCATAGATCACTCTAGAAGCCACTAGGAAATACATAGAGAAGCTTCCTTCTAAAGCCTTTCTTACAAGCTACAAGAATATTCTAGAATGCTTTAGAAATATCTATACAAGATATTTACAAGTCTAGTATGTACAAGGGTCTTGAATACTCAAGGATGTTCTAGAATCCTCCATGTGCTCTCAAGTGTTGGAATGAGTTAGGAAGTTCTAGATCCTTCTATTGACCTCTATGCTCCCAAGCTCTCATGTAGGGAATTTTTGCCATAGGAAATTTAGTAGCTTGTGACATTCTCCCCCACCAATGCTGGCGACGACCTCGTCGCATCTTTCCTGCAGAACTTTTGTATTTGCTCCTAGAACTACCATAAAGCTTCTGTTGGCTCATATGGGTAGGGAAACGGACAAGCATGGAGGCAGGTAAGGTAATGTCTCATTGACAAGAGCGTTAGGGACTGGTGGTGGTAGCATGCCACGTACCGACTCATTGGGGATGCGAGTTTTATACTAAGCACCTTGCAAGCACATTAGTTTGTGAGTGATAAGGTAGGTAGGGTAGATCCCTATTGCATCTCCTAGGTTGGTCCTTGGGCATAATGCACAGGGTACATAGTACCACTCGTGGAGTCAGCTTCTCGGAAGGATGACATGCGCCCAGTCCACGACAATATAAATTTATAATTAGCATATTTTGGTAATGATTATATTGTGAAATATAGGGGCACTTGTAGTTTCCATTGGAATTAGAATTATTAGTCACGGGTGAAGCTCCAACCTTCATGCTTTTACCTTGCTAAATGTAGATTGTGAGGTCAAAATGATATGTGACTTTTAGTTCCATAGTTCCTTAATATTTTCTCTAGTTTCATTGGATTGATGTGGAAAAATATTTTTCTTTTACTATATATTGTGTTTGTGTGGATGTTATTGTGTCTAAACATTAGTTGCATGAAATGGGAGTGGAAGCAATAGTGGAATCAAGGAATCGTAAACATTCCAAGAATCGTTGGTAGGGAGCGTTTGTAAGTATATATTATTTTTTTGAGCTGGTCAACACAAGACAAGATAATAAATTAGTTCGGTGGTTCTACATGCACTAATTAGTATAGGGTCTAGGGGGTCACGTGCCCCTGGGTTTTGGAATTTGTTTTTTGGCAAAAATAAAGAAAATATTTTAAATAAAAAAATTTATAAAAATATTATTTACAGTGAAATGTCAATGATATTTTTAAAATTATAAGAACAATAATGA